CAAGGGGGTTTCACTAAGAACACCTAAAGAGGTGTTTTTGGTGGGGCTAGTGTTAACAGTCCCGCTTAAAACTAGAACCAAGTGAAGACAAACATGGGATAAAAATTTCGATTTTTTGAGGCATATACATCGATTTCTAAGAAAACCATGGTGAAACATGTCCCTTATCTCGATAATTTCTAAAAACTGAAATTATTTCAATACTCATTCCTGATAAGTGAACACACATGCTATGAATTAATTTCAATTGTTTCACTGTGGTTTAGGCGCCTTTCTCTGAGGCATATATATCGGTTTCTAAGAAAACCATGGTGAAGCATGTTCCTTATCTGTGTGATTATTTCAATACTCATTCTTGATAAGTGAACACATATGCTATGAATTAATTTCAATTGTTTCACTATGGTTGAGGAGCATGTTTACTAACTTGGAACATATAAATGCTATAAACACCATGTGGTGTGGGGAGCATATACATTTCACTTCAATTTTGTTCACCACAGGACCACAAAAAAAAGGGTTCATTAATTACTTTTTTTCTTTTTTTAATTTGGCCATTACAAAATTTTATATTACTTTCTTGAGAAAGAGAGAGTTTATACTAGTTTAAGATGTAGAGTCGACATGCCCAAGATCTAAGATAATGCGAAAAAAAAATAATTATATTATGTTCTTGGAGAAATGGGAGCATAAATAACATTATAATGTTATACAAAGTTATTATTTATATAGCTTCAATCAATTCCAAGTATGCCAAAATTTGAAATATTGATTGTAGGGCTGCAGCAATGAAATCTTTTGATTTATTTTGCTTTTAAACCAAGCTGTACTCGAAGGATCACAAAAATTGTTGTGCCAGCGGAAATATAATTAAGCCAACACTTTTTAAATTAAATTTAAAGGATTTTTTTTTTTTGCAGGAATACCATTAAGTTGTTGTGCTCTGCGTTACGGGGTGAATGGGAGGCACAAAGAAATACTATCAAAGAAGATTGTTTTAATTTTGGTGGTCTAAAAGTTAAATAAGAACAAATTGATCACCAATGTGTCTGCCGCGCAAATCTCACGGCCAGGAGTTCCGGGCCGAGGGGATATGTGTTGACACGCGGCTTCCTGCTTTTGGATGCGGTGCGGTTAAGCGCGGGCGTGCCAGCACGGTCTGCCGTGCGTCAAGATGTTGATGTGGATGGAAATAGTTAAGTGGTGCGCCTGTTTGAACTCGTCTCCTAATCAAACGATTGTAGCCGAGAAAGGAACTAATCTCGGCTGTCAGGTTCACGGCCTGAGCTACAAGGCCGTTTAGTAGTGGTGTTGGTGGTGGGTTTTGGGCGGTGCTCCGGCGCGCTGCTCAGGGAGCGACGGTCGTATGATATATGGGGTGAATGAGCGAATAACAAAGATGGTGCTCCGGCGCCTTGAAAATCAAGGGTCGTATGATATATTGATGAATGGATTTTCCTTACAGTCTAACACTACTCCTAGGAAAGCAAGTAAAGATATTGAAAGTGCATTACAGGCAAATATAAGTTGCTCCGTGGGAGGCTTTGGTTTGGTGTTTGAACCCTTTGAATGTAGTTTGAGCTTTCGTATTTATAGGAAGAGTTCTTGGATGAATAATCGAGGTTGAAAATCTGCATGGTGGAGCCTGATTTGAGCAAGTGGGTAGTCCAATCGACATTTGGGATCGTGAAGTATGGTGGTGTGACCCCATAAATCCTGGTAAATCTCGGTCGCTGCCCTAATCGTGGTTTCTGCGCAACTGGCCGTGGGGACGCATTTATTACTCTCATAGTTAGTCACCCAATCTCTCAAGCTGCAAGAATTCTTGTGAGAATGTCTGCGTCTAATCACTCTGTCTCCTGTCGCCAAACCCTGACTTCAGTCACTTCCCACCTTCCCTCGTGCATTAAATGCTTATTCGTGGCCAGTGGGTTTGCTGCAATAAACAAAGGCACTACTTCATTAAATGAAGCATGGGACCCTGCTGCCACTTGATGATATGATTTTCATGCCTTTGGCCGTAATTTTGTTCGGCCTCGGCCTCGGCCTATAATCGAGGCCGAGAAGATCATGCCTTAGCAATTCTTTTCTTGTTTTCACGGAGGGCCAAACATCTTGGCGAAACGCCGCGTTTTAGTTCCACGAGTGAGTGCTAGGGCCGACAAAAGGGGCTCCTTCGGCCATTTTATGGCCGTGATTTATTAGGCACAAACACAATGATACAATCCAAACCAAACAAAAGAGTAAAATTTAACGGAGAACTTGGTTATTAAGAAGAAATGGATTTAATCATCAGTGCCAACCTGATTGTAATTTGTATTCCTGTTTTCGCATGTAAGACCATAATGCCACCAAAACTTTTGATGTAGCAGAGGAGACACATCATAATAATAAATAAATAAACAAATAAAGATTATCATAATACTAAGATGTTATGGATGAATGAAATCATCACATTGCATATATACAATACTGGAATTAGCAAGCGATACAAAGAAAGTAAACAAAGTCGTTGTGCACTCCACACCACGCACGTCCACAACTATTATTTACAAAGACGATTCTTTTATTTTTGGTCGTCCACTCCACAACTTGAATAAAATCAAATCAAATTTATCTAAGCATGAAACAATCCAAACTAAATAAAACACAACCAGTAAGTACCCAGACACAAAAAAAAAACAAACAAACAAAGGGAAAGAAAGAAATACTGAGACAGCTGAAGAAAGAAACTAGGAGTTAGCATAGTACAAACACACAAAATCAGGACTCACCTTGTTCCCATATATTATATATCTTGAAATCAATCAAAGAAGAAAAGAAAACATGTGGCACATGAGAAATCTTGGGCCAATCTTCTCTAATGTTGCGCTGGTTTAGGGAAATCTTAGGCCAATCTTCTCCAATTCAGGACAATTCTCAATCACAAGTTCTCTTAAGGAGGTAAGAGAACGCATCCCCTCTAACAGAGACGACAATTTCTGACATTCACCAATGATTAACTTTGTGAGTGATGTGAAACTTGCCAACCACTCAGGTAATGCCTCCAAATTCTCACAGGAGCCAATAACCAAGATTTGAAGGGTGTTAGCTGCTCCTTGAAGCCATTCAGGCAATGCCACCATCCGTGGTACTCCTTGAATCCACAATTTTTGAAGCCTCAATGGAGTTCCTTGATAGTTTACGTTCCCTAAATCCAGTTGTTTGCATTTGTATATCCACAGAGTCCATAAGGAAGCAAGATAGCTCGTTTCACGCGGCAAAGAGGTTAAATTACTACACTCGATAATACCAAGAAATCAAAGTGATTTCAAGCATCCCACCCCATTCTCTGTAAAACTTGTTTCTTTGGTCGTTAACCAAAGTGATGTGAGGCTGATCAATTTTCTTATATCTCTGGGCAACTCTTCAAGATTCACACATCCAATAAGATTTAGAGTTTGCAAGCTCTGCAGTCTGCAAATTGCATTAGGGAGTTTCGTTATTGCTTCATTATAACTCAAGTCCAAATATCTCAAATGTTTCTGGGAACCAATGGAAATTCGCAACACTTGTAATGAACATCCAGGTAACGCAACCACTTGCAAATATTTGAATCTTGAAAAGCAACTGCATAGGAAGGATTCATCAATCTCTATATCCAATGCCGCTACAGTCCGCACTTTGTTTAACTTTTGCAAGGTTGTTGAAACATTTTGGCCAGCTTCCAAAAATGTCAAATGTCTAACATTTTCAGGTATGTCTTTGGTGTTTGCAGACTTCACTGTAAAATACTCATCTTGTGCAACTGATTGTACAAGATCATGAATAAGATCATGCATATCAAATTTGTAGAAAGTATGACAATCAATAACGTTTTGAAAGAAGGATCTCGCCCATAAATCTTTAAAATATAGCTCTCTGATGTCCTCCAACTCCATATTCCCATGAGCACGAGACTGATCAAGGATTCCGTGTGCCATCCAATATGTAATCAATGCATAACTAGCATATCCAATCCTATCCTTTCGAAGCTGGGAACAGTAAGCAAGACATTGTCTCAAATGAGGAGGCAATCAGGTATAACTCAATCTCAAAGCAGGTAAAATGTGACCATCTTCTTGTTTCAATTCCCATATCTCAGAATCTCTCACCAATTTCCATTCCCGTTCATCAGTCTTTGAGTATAGTTGACTCCCTAAAGTTTTCACTGCCAATGGAACCCCTCCGCACTTTCTGACAATAGCTTCTCCCATTTTAAAGAGGCTTGGATATTGTTTTTCATGTCCCTCTTTAAAAGCACATTCTACAAACAATGACAAGGAATCCTTGTGAGAAAGAAATTCTAAATTAATGTTTGCTGGAACGGTACCCATGATCGAAGCAACTGTGGTACTTCTAGTCGTCACTAAAATCGTACTTCCTGACTTGGCTCCCTCTATCAATAGATCTCTCAACTGACCCCACTTCAAAGCATCATCTTTCCAAACATCATCCAAACCAAACAAAAGAGTAAAATTTAATGGAGAAGATTGTATTCCTGTTTTCGCATGTAAAGCCATAATGCCACCAAAACTTTTGATGTAGCTGAGGAGACACATAATAATAATAAATAAATAAACAAATAAAGATTATCATAATATTAAGATGTTATGGATGAATGAAATCATCACATTGCATATATACAATATTGGAATTAGCAAGCAATACAAAGAAAGTAAACAAAGTCATTGTGTACACCACACCACGCATGTCCACAACTAAATACAAAGACAATTCTTTTATTTTTGGTCGTCCACTTCACAACATGAATAAAATCAAATCAAATTGATCTAAGCATGAAACAATCCAAACTAAATAAAACACAATCCAGTAAGTACCCAAACACAAGAAAACAAACAAACAAAAGGAAAGAAAGAAATATTGAGACAGTTGAAGAAAGAAACTAGGAATCATATTAGTATAATACAAACGCACGAGAACAGGACCCACCTTGTTCGCATATATTATATATCGAGAAATCAATTGAACCAGTGTAAGGAAACATGAGGCACATGAGAAATCTTGGGCCAATCTTCTCCAATGTCGCTCTGGCATCCCCTCTCCAATTCAGGGCAATCATCAATCACAAGTTCTCTTAAGGAGGTAAGAGAACACATTCCCTCTGGAAGAGTCGACAATTTCGGACATTCCAAAATGATCAACTTTGTGAGTGATGTGAAACTTGCCAACCACTCAGGTAATGCCTCCAAATTCTCACACGTTTCAATAAGCAAGAATTGAAGGGTGTTAGCCGCTCCTTGAAACCATTCAGGCAATGCCACCATCCCGGGTACATCTTGAATAAACAATTTTTGAAGCCTCAGTGGAGTTCCTTGATAGTTTACGTTCGCCAAATCCAATTGTTCACATTTATGTAGCACCAGAGTCCGTAAGGAAGCTAGATAGCTCATTTCACACGGCAAAGAGGTTAAATTACTATACTTGACAATACTAAGAAATTGAAGTGATTTCAAGCATCCCACCCCATTCTCTGAAAAACTTGTTTGTTTTGTGGTTAATTCAAGTGTTGTGAGGCTGATCAATTTGCTTATATCTCGGGGAAACTCTTCAAGATTCACACATCCCTCAAGCATTAGAGTTTGCAAGCTCTGCAGTCTGCAAATTGCATTAGGGAGTTTCGTTATTGCTTCATTCACACTCGAGTTCAGATATCTCAAATGTTTCACGGAACCAATGGAACTTGGCAACACTTGTAATGAACATCCAGGTAACTCAACCACTCGCAAATACTTGAATCTTGAAAAGCAAGTGTGAAGGAAAGATTCATCAATGTCTATTTTGTCTGCTGCTACAGTCCGCACTTTGTTCAACTTTTGCAAGGTTGTTGAAACATTTTGGCTAGCTTCCAAAAATGTCAAATGTCTAACATTTTCATATATGTCTTTGGTGTTTGCAGACTTCACTGTAAAACACTCACCTTGTGCAACTGATTGTAAAAGATCATGGATAAGATCATGAATATCAAATATGTAGAAAGTCATACACTCAATAACATTTTGAAAGAAGGATCTCGCCCATAAATCCTTAAAATATAGCTCTCCGATCTCTTCCAAGTCCATATTCCCATGATCACGAGATTGATCAAGGATTCCATGTGCCATCCAATATGCAATCAATTCCAAACTATAAAATTCAGTCATATCCTTTCTAAGATGTGAACAGTAAGCCAGACATTGTCTCAAATGAGGAGGCAATCGGGTATAACTCAATCTCAAAGCAGGTAAAATGTGACCATCATCTTCTTGTTTCAATTCCCATATCTCAGAATCTCTCACCAATTTCCATTCCCGTTCATCAGTCTTTGATTACCGTCCAATTTTCTGTTGAAAAAAAGGCCTTCTCCGACTCTATACTTGCATTCACATTGACTTAGTCAACCACGCTCAGTAGGTACGAATATTATAAAGACAACTTGAGGGTAGGTGCGCCAAAGAGATGTGTTAATGAGTGACATATATTAGTGACTGGTAAGGATCAATCTAATGGAAAATTAAGTCGGTTTGATATTTTCTTTAACTTTTTTCGCAATTCTTTAATTTTTTTTAAAGGTATTTTGTTTTTCTTTATAATTTCTCTTGTTCTCTCTGCTTTGGGGCAGTAGTAGTGCTTTCCCCGCCAAGGTTTCAGCTCTGCGTTAAACGGTCAATGGGAGGCACAAAGTTGAGTGGTTTTGTATATCCAACTGCCATGCCAAAAGAAACACCTTCACCGATATCATCGAACAAGAAATCGAAGACTGGCAGAACCTCATCAAGCAAGTACAGATTCTCCATTATCATTGTTGTACATTGGCAGATATTGAGATCCAAAACCATATTGAGTCGAGGACCACATTTGAAGATGCACAAATCAGTTCGACTTATCATCTTGTCCAGGCTAGAAAATGAATCTGAAGCTGTGCTTTATATGGGTAGTTTTTGTAGCTTTCATGTTATACCAGGCAAGGCCTCTTGACAAGTTTGCATGAGCAACTTGTTGGGAAAATGGCTCACCTAAGGATACAAGGTTGGTTTTGACGCTGAAAGGAAGATTTTGAATCTGCCTAAAAGCGACCGGTCGCTAGGCATTTGCGACTGGTCGTTTTGAAGCAGATTCGAAGTCTGGAGCAACATCAACGAGCGACCGGTCGCCAGTTCTTTGCGACCGGTCGCAGGAAGCAAGCGACCGGTCGCGTGACATTTGCGACTGGTCGTTTAGAAGCAGATTCAAAGTCTGGAGGGAAAACTTCTGGCGACCGGTCGCCCATTCCTGACGACCGGTCGCTCCAGTCGTGCTGTGACGTTTCCTTACGTGTTTTCAACTGTGTTTTCGATGGCTATCGCTTTCCACAAGATCTCAGAAGCTTTGTGGGTCACTTCTGAGTTAATTGAACGTTGACTACTTGCTGGATAGTTGGGAGGGCACTCATGGCTAATTGGTTATCTTATTTTGGATAATCTCCTCTCCATTTTCTGGTTTAATGGAGGTGGCTGAGTGGGATTGTTTTACCTACTTGATTTGACCCTTAGTCTAAGTGGTGACTAAAAGGAAAGAACGTGGAGGACAATCAGATATCCTATCTCTTGTCCATTGGCTTGTG